AATTTCTTTCTATTTTTAGTAGAGACGGGGTCTCGCTCTTGCTCAGGCTGGTCTCGAACTCCTGGCCTCCAGCGATCCTCCCTCCTCGGCCTCCCAATGACCTCCACTGTCGTGATCCTTCTGGAAAACAGAAATCAGAGAAAGAAGTATAATAATGAAGAGAGGGCCACCACCGTGGACCACATTTCTTTCCTGTCAATTTTAAGTTGCTTGTCCGTTGACTTGTTTGTTGTAGCGTGGGCCACGTTTCCTGGCCGCAGCTGAGGGTGACTCGAGGACGGGTCGGGGGTGGATCAGAAGTAACCGGGTTTGTCCGGGAGGTCCGTGTGTCTCCGAGGGTGAGCGGCAGAATCCGGCCAAGCGTGTTCCTGTAGTTCAATAATCGCGTGGTTTGTTTAGCTCCCTGACTCCCCGACCGCCCCGTGGCTCAGGCGCTGCCACGGTCTGGGGTAGTGACACGCGGCCGCTGTCACCGCGGCGGGGCGCGCACCCGGCCGTCTCGCTTGAGACCACGGGCTGTCATCTCTGCACTCTTGTGACTCTGAAAAAATAAAATAAAACAGCGACAAAAACAAAGCACCACCAAAGACCCAACTCTCCACACCCGGGCGCCGGCAGCCTCTGTTTTCACGTCTGCAAAATGGGGCCAAGCACAGGGAGAGGCCTGTTCGGAGGCCACGTGCGTTGGCCCAGTTTGCGCGTGGCCCGGGGCCGTGAGCGCTCTGCCCGGCGTCCCCGCTGGCCCTGCTTGGCGGCGACCACCCCCCTCCGCTTGGCCGGAGGCAGAGTCCCCGGGTTCGAGGATGCCCAGCGGCGTGTGACACCGTGGACACTTCAGAGCGGCGCGGGAACGTGTCTGAAGAATTTCAAGCAGGGGGGCGGCGTGACCGGATCGGGTCTCGAGCAGGTGGGGTCGCTCTGCCGGGGACAGCCGGGGAGGGACGGGATCGCGGGGCAGGCGGGGCTCCTGCCGGCAGCGTGTGGCCGTCCTGGGGGTCCCCACCCCCGTCTGTCCGGCAAACGGCCGCAGCCGGACGGAGCGGAGCGAGGGCCGCCTGGGACGGGTCCACGCAGTCCCTTCCGGAACCGGGTTCCGAGCTCCGCCGGGCAAGCGAGGCCGGGCACGCCCTCCTCACGCGCAGGGGGCTGGCAGGTGACCGGGCTGGTCCTGGTGGGTGACCAGGGTGGTCCTGGCGGGCGGGGGGGACAGACCTGGAAAAGGTTCTCTATATCGCGCCTTGGCGGGGCCGTGCGGTGCGTCGCCGACTGCGCCGTTTGCTCCCGTAGTTCGAAAGAAAACGCCGACAGGGTGATGGTTTCGGAAAGGGTCCCGCCCACAGGTGGCCTCCTGGGGAGAGGTTGGGTCGCGGGACTCGGTTTGCGTCTCTGCAAACCAGGGCGCGGCCCGGAAGCTGAGGCGGGAACAGGCCACCGTGTCCCTGCTCTGCGTGGCCTCCTGGGGACGTGTGTTCTGAGACGGGCAGTGGAGAAGCAGCTGGGGACGGGGCCCGGTTCGGCTGTAGCCCAAGCTCCCTGTGTCCCTGCCCGGCCACGCTCCCTCCGCCCGGGCCGGCGCCCCTGCGCGGCTGTCGTGGGCGCGGCCAGTCCAGAAGCGACATCCCCTTCTGTCTCCTCCATCCGTCCATCCGTCCATCCGCCCAGCGTCTCATCCCGGCGTCCCCGGGGGCCAGGAATACGTATAAGACCAGATTTCGAGTCTAAAGAGATCTTGTCTGAGGCCGCGTGGCCAATGGCAAGCGGGAGCCATAGAAGGTTCTTGAGCAGGAGAGGGAGCAGCGGGGAGAACAGTCACTGCGCCGCGTGGAGGGGCGGGCGGGGAGCCGGGAGGCTGCCGTGACGGGGCCAGAGCCGTCTCTGCGGGGGCCCCGTTTGCGATCGTGCACGAGTTGTCCACGTCCGAGGACGGGGACCGTGTCTGTGTATGCAGCAGGGCTTTAGCCACGGCCTGGCATGCAGCAGGCAGTCGATAAATGGGCATCGAATGCAGGTGTTCGTTACTCAGTTAATTCAAGGCAGCGCCGGCGTGATCGTCACGGGTGAGGTCGTCTGTGAGCTCGCGGCCGGGCGAGACAGGAGCCGTCACCCCACGCGGCTGGGGCGGAGACCGGCGCCCTGAGGCATGTCTGGTCCACGAAGGATCTGGCTGATGGCCGGGCTGGCACCGGGGCCCGGAACACACGTCCCTTATTCGGGCCCAGGGGACACAGCTCACCTTGAGGACGAACCCTGCCGCCCGGCCGGCCCAGGTCGGACCCCAGAGCCGTCAGGCTGAGCATCTCTTGCCTCCGTAGCAAAGCACTTGCACCGACCTCAGCATCGCAGGCCGCCTCGTGTCTCACCGGAAACCAGTCCGGCTGAGCATGTGCAAAGGCACTGGGGCAGCAAAGAGCCTGGCGTGCTCGAGGCTCTAAACGGAGGCCAGTGTGGCGGCGGGGCTCGTGGCGCAGGAGGCTCGTGCCTGGGTCGTACGCGTGTCCCTTCATCCCTGTGACACCGGCGGGACCCCGGGCGGGTTTACTCGGCCTCTGCCGGACAAGAAGCGCTAACCCTTCTCTCCCCTGCTCTGACCCAGTGCCTACACAGAGCCCTACAAGGTGTGCCCCGTGTCGGTGGCGGCCCCGAAAGAGGACCTCACGTCGGACGAAGAGCAGAGGAGCTCGGAGGAGGAGGAGGAGGAGGAGGACGGAGTCCCGAGAGACCCCAGCCTCGCCCACAAGGTAGCGCAGCCCCCCGGGGAGGGGCCGGTGGGATGCGGGCGTCCGCGATGAGAAGGTGGAGAGGGGACGGGGACAGGTCTGCGCCCCCCGCGTCTGGGCGCACACAGCTGGGTCCTGCCGGCGACGGCGCGTCCGTGCGCTGTCTGGTGGCCGCGCCCGGTCCGCTGCCGGGGTCTCTGCACCCACTGAGGGGTGGCATCCCGGGGGGCTTCCGGGGCGAGGGGGGCCGGGACTTTGGGCCACGAGAGACGACCCCCCCCACTGCAGGGGACGGGCTGGGACGGCCGAGACCAGCCCCACAGCCCCTGCCCGTCCTCCAGCCGGTCACTCCCCACCGTGGGGCCTCAGCTTTCCCATCTGTGTAATGGGAGCATCATGGTAGCTCTCGGGCTATGGGAAGGTCGAAGGAGAACATCGGTAGGGAGGAGGGGTCTGGCCTGCCCGGAGTTCTAGGACACCGGGAACGAGGGGCCGGCAAGAGGCAGGGCGGCCCGGGGAGGTTCAGACCCCGCTTCGGCCCTTGCTGGCTGGGCGCCGCGGGCAGCCGCTGCGCCTCTCTGTTCCTCGGTTTCCCCGTGCGGGAAATGAGAACGGCGCCGGCACCTGCCTGGGAACAGTCGCGGGAGTCAACGAGTCTGAGGGACCCCAGCAGAGCCCGCCACGCGGTGAACGAACACGCAGAGGCCACAGCTTTGGGCGACACTGTCGGCCCCAGGCCAGCGGTCGGGGAGGTAAAGCAGCCCCAGCCCGGACAGGGGACCCGCTCAGTGTCCTTTGGGGACCAGGGCCAGACAGGAGCACCCCGTCCTTGTGAGGGCGCAGAGGGGCCGTGCGCGGGTCCGGAGCTCAGACCTCTCATCTGCCAGCGGGACTGCGCGTCCTGCCCCGCCACCCTCCGCCACCCTCTGCTCCTCGCCGTGGGGCTGGCCTTACACACAGCTGGAATCGCCTGCAGAAACCGCATTTTCATCACGCAGGGTGTCACCTATCACGTCATTGTTGGTGGCGGTTCAAGTCCCACCTGGGTACGTGAGCTCCAAATCACAGCATTTTTTTTTTTGAGACAGTCTCTCTCTGTCACCTGGGCTCGAGTGCCGTGGCGTCAGCCTCGCTCACAGCAACCTCCAACTCCTGGGCTCAAGCGATCCTCTTGCCTCGGCCTCCCGAGTAGCTGGGACTGCAGCCATGCGCCACCATGCCCGGCTGATTTTTTGCATTTTCTGTAGAGGTGGGATCTTGCTGTGTTGCCCAGGCTGATCTTGAAGTCCTAGCCTCCAGCGATCCTTCCAGCCTGGCCTCCATTTCCATTTTTTTTTTTTTTTTGAGACAGAGTCTCACTCTGTCGCCCGGGCTAGAGTACCGTGGCGTCAGCCTCGCTCACAGCAACCTCCAACTCCTGGGCTCAAGCGATCCTCTTGCCTCGGCCTCCCAGAGTGCTAGGATTATAGGTGTGAGCCACTGCGCCCGGCCCCAAGGGTGACATTTTGCACCCCCAGAGGACATTTGGCAACGTCTAGAGATAGTCTTGGCTGTCACAGTGGGGGCTTGGGGGCTGCCGTTGTCGTCCGCTGGGTAGAAGCCATAGAGACCATTAATTTCCCTGCAAGACACGGGACGTCTCCAGTAGCAAAAACTGTCCCGTTCCAGCGTGTGCCAAGATTGAGGGGCCCCAGGTAGAGACTGGCTTGGGGGCTCTCTGGGTCACGTCGTCACGGGCGGCCGTGCTGAAGATGAGACTTCTGAGCAGAGGCCTAAGAAAGTGAGAAAGTACGAGTGGGACGATCTGGGGAACAGCATGTGCAAAGGCCCTGAGTCGGGAACGCGTCCTCACAAAGACCAGCATGTGTGGGATCCGGTCGGTTATTCTCCACCGTATTTCAGAGGAGGAAACCGAGGCTCAGAGATCGGGGTTCGCTGCAAGTCGTGCAGGGAAACCGCTGGGGCTGAGGTTTGACCCCGGGCGGGATCGAGTCCGGACCCCACTTGTTTCCCGCTGCCTCGGCGGCTGCCAGAGGAGGGACTCAACCTTCGCTTTGCGGTTAAGGCCTTGCTTCCTCCTCCCTGACTCTGTAAAATTTGTTTTTTTCTTATTCCATCCCCGAGTGCTTGGTTCTTTTTCTGGTAGCGCCTCGAAACCCAAAACAGCAAGGATAATGGAGCCAGAGACTGTGTACTGCTTGGCATGTGCCCGGCACGGTTCCACGTGTGATATGCACGTATGTACACACGTGTGCTCAGTCCATCTTCATAACGTGCGTATGTGCTGGCTGCTAGTCTGTTGTACCCATTTCACAGATGAGAAAACTGAGGCACAGACTGAAATGACTTGTTCAACTAGTAAGAATCAGAGGCAGGAAACTGCCGAGTTCCTGGGTCCATGCTTTTATTTTTTTTTTTTTGAGACAGACTTTCCCTTTGTCACCCAGGCTGGAGTACAGTGATGTCATCAGAGCTCAGTGCAGCCTCGAACTCCTGGACTCCAGCCATCCTCCTGCTTCAGCCTCCCGAGTAGCTGGGACTACAGGCACCCGCCACCGTGCCCGGCTAAGTTTTGTATTTTTTGTGGAGAAGGGGCCTCACTGTGTTGTCCAGGCTGGTCTTGAGCTCGTGGGCTCAAGCGATCCTCCCGCCTCAGCCTCCCAAAGTGCTGGGATTAAGGTGC